GAGGAAATTTACTCGTTAATCCGATCCGTACGCTTTGCATATCAGTCTGTCAAAATGATTTCTGGAGAAATACTGAAAGTTTCAATGAGATTTTCGAACTAGAAGTACAGGGTGATAAAAAAAAACCCCAACAACTTTACTACTTTTTCTGAATATCTCGCGCAAAAATTATTCTAGAAAGCTGTAATTTGGAACAAACATAATTCATTCAAACGGAATTTGTCTGATATAAAATCCTTGAAAAAGAAACCTGTTTTGAAAACAGAAACTACTAAAAGAAAAAAAGCATTAAAAAACGCAAAGTTCACCAACGTTTAAAAATCTTGTAAAGGAAGTCGTGAAAAGATTAGTTGACCTTTTTCTTTATTTTCTCTTTGACATTAGTTGTTCATCCCTGTGACATTTAAAGAATATTTAATTATATTTGAGTTCTAAAAACCTACTGATTTCATTCTGAAATTCCTAGAAGCAGTGCACCACATTCCCTCCTTTGGACTCGACACATTTTTAAATGTTCAGTGGTGCCCTAACACAAGGACCTGCTAAACCATACGTTTTTAAAGCCACATACACTGTACATGCTCACTAAGAAGTGGCTTCTAGAGACCATAGAGTAGGGTGCCCAATAGACAGCATTTTTGGAGTTAACATATCCCGCTGGGTGAAAATGGGCTTTGCACTAAACCAAATGCCATCGAGAAAAATGATCCCACTTTACAAGACAATCGAGGAATCATGAACACATTGCCATGCTCTGATCTATGTCATCTCGGCCTAGCGAAGATGAACATGGTATAGTCGAAGGTTAAGATATTCCATGAGAATGCAGACTGTTGATGTGTAGGAAAGTCCTTGCTGCAGATCATCCACGGACAGACTCGGGACTCGGCTAATGACCTCGAGAGCGTTCTGAAGCAAGCTCAACTTCCTGGGAAGCATGCTGTGAGATTGATTTGATATGACAGAAAGCATTCAAAAGCTAAAAGGGACATTTCACCCCCTAGCCTTAGCATTAGCACTCTCGTTTGAATGTACTCAATATTTCCAGACCCAGCATAAAATTGTAGAGGCGTACTGGATCTACTTAGATCTGCCAGTGTATGTGTCTAATTCTCACCCCCAAGTTTAGAGGCCGCCCTTCAGGTTGTATTACATCTATAAAACGTTTAGAATCTAGATCTAAATAGATAGTAGATAGGAAAGATGAGAAGTGATCCAACCCAGGGGGAATAACAAAAAAAACAACTGTTCCCATTAACGAAACACCAAAACGGATCAATCCACCCTCCAACACACCACATTGATAACGCCACCGACCGCCTCTGGTCTCCATGCCCCCAGCGCTGTCGTCACTGTGGCCAATAAGGAGCGATACCTCAGAATTACTCAGTATGGGTGGTTGGCAGGAGTTCTAGTGTGATTTGCTCCTTCTTTCCTATCAAACGTTTATCGTCCTTATCTCCCCTCCTTTTTTTTGTGTACCTTGCTCTCTTGTAACACATCTATTCTTCGGCACTTATATGGCCTTATTGTGTTGCAAGTGCCGAAAAATTCTTACTAAAAAAA